ACAGAACACAGAATAATTTTAGTAATAAAACTATACAACTTCATTGCTTTCAAAAGTGGGATAATCATTAAAGCGGTTCTCCCCAATAATAAAACAATTGTTCTTTTATAGCTCTAAGTGGTAACTTAAAAGTATAAACTGAGCAAAACAGCAATGCATAATATAAAACAACAGTATGCAAATGTAAGGACAATTTCTCTGTTCGGTAAATGGTTTATCTATCAAAGCACCTCTCTTTCATGTGATCCAGTGAATACAAACTTTCTAGATCTGCTCTGATACCCAAATACAGTGGTGCCTCGACTTACGAACATCCCTACTTACAACCATTTCGAGTTGTAAGTACCTCCAGCCGCAAAATTTTGCTTCTACAATGGTGCCCTGACTTACGAACTTAATCCATATTGGAATGGTGTTCCTAAGTCAAAATGTTCATAAGTCAAAGCACTATTTCTGATTGAAATGCATGGGAATGGGATTAATCCATTCCAGCATTTAAAAAATAATAATAAAATAAAATCACCAAAATTAAAACACTGCAAGCCCCGGGGACTGAAAAAACCAAACCAAACAAAACAAATTCAACATAAAAATAACCCCAGCAGCCCAATCCCACCCTGCAAAAGCCACCCAAAACAGTTTTTAAAATGCAAAAAGTCGCACACCTTACCTCACCAGGAAGCCTCCTCTCAAGCCTCATGGCCATGCTCAGCCGCCCGGTCTTCACCGCCCCTGAGACCGCCATCAGCGGGAGCCGTCCTGGAGCTCACCGGCCTTTCCCCCCGCCGCCGAAACCACCCAACTGCTGCCGAAACTGCCATCCGGGAGCCTTCTCTGTCGCCGTGCGGGCTCCACCACCACCAAAAACGCCGTCAGCAGGGAAGGTGGCTCCCGCCAACGGCGGTTTCAGTGGCGACGGGGCCCGTGCAGTGGAGGGAAAGAACATGTGAGTTCCTAGATGGCAGTCTCAGTGGCGGTGGGGTGGTTTCAGCGGTGGTGGGACCTGCGTGGCGGCAGGGAAGGCTGGGTGAGTTCCCGAACAGCAGTCTTGGCGGTGGTGGGGTGGTTTCAGCGGCATGCTTGATTGCTTTTCTTTTCTCCCCCCCCTTCGGCCGGAAGGGAATAATCACTTTTGCAGTGAGTCTTGCAGTGATTTTTTTGTGATTTTTTCTTTGGCTGGAACGGATTAATTGCATTTCAATGCATTCCTATGGGAAATGGTGCTTCAACTTACAACCATTTTGTGTTATGTCCATCTTCTGAAATGGATTAAGGTCATAAGTCGAGGCACCACTGTATGGCATAATTCCCACATTGCACATGGACAGATTTCTGGAGGAAAATTCCATCGCAGGTTACAGCCATGATGGGCATGTACAATCTCCAGGCTTAGAAGGAAGGTACCTCCAAATGCCAGATGCAGGGGAGGGGTACAAGGAGGCAGCTATCTAGTTGTCTCGTGTGCTCCCAGAGGCATCTGGTGGGGCCACTGTGAAATACAGGAAGCTGGACTAGATGGGCCCTTGGCCTGATCCAGCAGGGCTCTTCTTACGTTCTTATTCTCTCTTTCCCTCTCCACATTCTCAGTCTCCCTCACCCCCATTTGTAACTCTGAAGGCTTATGAGTAGGAAAGAACACAAAACAGACATCAGAGAATTGATCTCAATCCAATTAAATTGTTTACGATGAATTAACTGTCCGGTCAAAGCTACTTCCAAATTTTTCTGAACCAACTGCATGTTAAACATCCAGTACTAGGTTTCCAAAGTTGAGCAGGTTTTGTACAAGCTACCACCAGCACAAACATTAACAGTACTTTGTGAGGGATTTGTTTCTGTGTATTGTAATTTTTTAAAAAAAATAGTAATATATCAGGAACCACAATACAAAAACAATGTTTCTCCCTCTACCTCCAGATTTACTCCTCATCTTTCTCTTGCCTGATCATAAAACATACAATTTGGCCCCTCCTTCTCAGGGCTGCTCTCTTTTCCAGCCACATTGTATTTCTCAACCACCATCTCTTGTCTCATGACAGCTCCATGTTTATAGTTGCTCACATCATGATTGTTGACATCTTGTCCTCTTCATAGGTATTCTGCATCTTGGATGCCCTCTGTTAGCCTGGATCAACCTCTATTTCTTCCAGTGGTTTGTTTTATGGGGAGAGCTGCCTCCCCTCATATGACCTCTATGGTTTTTTTGGGGGGGCGGCGGCTGCTTTTTGTTTTGTTCTGTGTGTGGCTACTTTGTTTTGCTCTTCCTTATATACCTCCTTTGCTCTTTATAGAGTAGGACCCCATATCCCCCTAGGTATTGGTTCCAAGTCCTATCTATCTATTGATCAATCTATATATCCACATACAGTAAAAGGAAAAAAAGACAAAAAAAACAGAAAATGTTTTTGCATGCATTACCTGAACTGGCCAGCAGAGGGTACAAGAGACCATGCTATGTACAGTGGTGCCCTGCCTGACGGCAATAATGCGTTTCAGCAAAATCGCTGTTAAGCGAAATTGTCGTCAAGCGAAAAAATCCTCATTGGAATGCATCGAAAACTGGTCAATGCGTTCCAATGGGGGAAATACCTCATCGTCCAACGAAGATTGCCCATAGAGAACTGCCAATCAGCTGTTAAAAATTGCTGTAATGCGAAGCTTCCATCTGTATAGCAGCCATTTTGAGAAGGGAGGGAAGCCATTTTGCGGAACCGGAAAGCAGCCATTTTCAGAAGGGAGGGAAGCCATTTTGCAGAGCCGAAAAGCAGCCATTTTGAGAAGGGAGGGAAGCCATTTTGCGGAGGGAACCCATTTTGTGGAGCCAAAAAAACATTTTTTGCGAACAAACAGTTCGCGAAGCAGGCTCCTAATCAACGTAAAGTGGATTTCCCCCATTGGAACCATCGTTTTGCGATCGCAATAGCAATCGCAAAAATGTTGTCGGCAAGCGATTTTGACGTCATGCGAGATAAGAGTCTAACGGGGCACCGCTGTATTCTTCATTAGGAAGCATTCATATCAGTCTCTGGCTCCCTCTAGTGGCCAGTTGTGTTAATACATATGAAAATAAGTTTTCTGTTTTTTTTTCTTTTAATATTTTCAGACCATGGATAAGAGAAGCAGTAGATACTGATCCTATGGGTATGGGGGGTCCTACTGTATACATTTGTTGCTTCCTTAAAGATGTAGCTGTCTCTCACTTTGTTTCTTCTCTCTGTATGTTTGCACCCAGAGAGAACCTTACTGGAATCTCTTCTCTATTTAAAATGGCAGTAAGAAAGTGTTGAGACTGTCTTTCCAGGAGTATGTTTTTAACAAGATGCCTAGGGGTGTGGATCAGTAAGTCTTTCTAAGTCTTTGGAGGCATAACGGTGCCCCATAGACTCCAAGGTGAGGAAGCCAGCTCTAACAACTACAGAAATCTGGTGGTACATTTTTCTTTTTACGTGAGGGGAGTTTTTAAATTATTGCCAAGTATGTGAGCATGAAGCTCCTAAAAGTAAAAGCAACATTTCATTCAATAATTTTTATATGAGAGATAATAAATAGCTGTCCTGAATGCTGAAGAATAAAGCACTGTCCCACTGACACTAGTTTTGTGGGGATTCTTAAAAATTTTAAGACAAATTCATTCAGCAGTAATGAAATTTTATTTAATAGTTAAGTACCGAGAGGACAATAAATAACATACAAACCATATTGAGTTCCCAAAGCCAGAACACAGAGTTCTACCTCCTGCCCTCTGAAGATGCCGACCACAGAGACTGGCAAAACGTTAGGAAGAAAGACCTACAGAACACGGCCAAACAGCCCGAAAAACCTACAACCAACAAACCCTATTGACTTTGCTCAGAAGCGTCCTCTAAATTAAGTAGACACAGGCCTGAAATCTTAAAGCTTGTTCACTCAATAGACTGGTTACTACAACACAATTTAACCACCCTTTCAGATCTAACAACTGAAGAAAGAACTACAAGGTACAGACAGTTCGGTAATCCACTTTCTAAAGGACCGGCTTTAAAAAAAAAACCCAGCATATATATTTTCTATCTGTGGGATAAAAGTAGCTGAGACAAGACTATTAAAGAGCATGAAGGTAAAAAGGAGCAAGCTTCTTCCTCCCACAGCAATACAAGACCTCAAATGGCAAGATCAGAAATCATAGAACTGCATGCCTTTCTTCCACATAAGATTAGTAAAGAGATTGCTAAGGAAGGAGAAATAGCTCGGGAGACTGAGACCAATCCAGCAAGGATAAAAATTATGTCAGGCCAGTAGAACATGTCATTTGCACAGTATTTAGAACATAAGAATACAGTAGTACATGGTATTTTCACTACTACGATGGCTTCAAGAAAAATCCTTCCAATAACTGAACAAATAGATATACAGTAAACAACCAGCTACCTGTAATTTTTAGATAGATTATTATGCATTACTGCTTCGACTAGATTGTTAGTACTACTTGTTTTCCTCTCAGTGACATTTTGTAATTTTTTGTATACTAATTGATCTTTGTTTGCCTGTTAATTGATGTAAGATGCCTCCTTATTCATAATTTTTATATATCATCTTTTAATTATGTTAACCATTCCTTTCAACTTTAAATACTGTCCTTTGTTGTAAGCCACCTTGGGTCCTTTTCAAGAAGGGATTTCTTTATCTTTTTCAGCTTTTTACATTGTTTTAGTACCATTTAATAATATGTTTGGTTTCATTAACATTATAATGTACTGTATTATGTTTGTAATTGTTTTAATGTGGGTATCTTTTAACTCATCTGTAAGGCACTTTGGATCTTTCTACAGAGAAAAAAAGGTAAAAATTAGTTAAATAATAATAAAAAAACCTTCCCTTCCAATGGACTGAAACAGTAATGTCAAGAGTGCTACTACTTTGTTCAACATAATAAAAGTAGCAGCAAACTAGCTAATCCTTTATGTGCCCACGGATAGTCCATGTACGTCAGAAACACGTCCCAAAGGATTTCAGATACGTAGATCGCAACAGTTTCTCTTCTCACTCCGCACATGCTATAATATTTGGCATATCCTTGAGTAGGGCATCGGATGTGACATAAGCAAATGAGGATTCATTCAAACCGTAGTGTGCGGACTGGATTGCGCAGAGAATTATTTGTGAGGTCGTGTTATGACAACTTTCAACTAGAGAAACCAACTCAACCCTAATGCATCGAGGACAGTTTTCTTAAGGTCCACCGATCCAAATTGTGCCGTTTGGCGTTGGCTCCGAAGCCTGCGACCTTTTTGGATCAGAAAAGAGGGAGGAGTCTGGTGGGGACGCGTGGTCGCTACCCCTCCGCCGCAGAAACCATTTGCAGGAAGTCGAACAGAAAAGAGCAGAAGGCTCTGAGGGAAAAAAAAAGAAAGTCAAGTTTACCTCCCGCGCCGTCGGCGTCGAGAAATCAACCAACCCGCTCGGCTGTCCGCCCTCCCACCGGCGGTAGAAGCGAAAAAGGCGACGGAAGGCGTCTTCTTCCCGCGCGACAGCCCCCGCCGCCGCCATTTTAACTCCCAGGGTGACGGCCTTGCAGGCGCTCCGCGGAAGGGGCGAGGCTTCTTCGGCGTTGACCCGGAAGCGACCTGCGTTTCTTTCAAGATGGCGGCGGGCGGCATGTCGCAGAAGGCCTTTAAAATCTTCGTTCGCCGGCTACCTTGGACCGTGGGCCCAAGTGAGTGAGAGAGAGAGAAAAAAAGGGAACTTCATATAGCTCTGATAGAACCGGGGTGGCCTGAGTCGTTTTGCCCAATTCGCCTGGGAGGGTATCGGTGGCGGGTTATCTGTTGTGTTTCCACGTGGTGCCCGGATTTGTTATTTTAAAAGTTGTAGGGAAACGACCCTGAGAGGCGAGGGAAGGCGACCTCCGCCTTTTTGAGACTGCAAATTTGTCCTCACCTAGTGGCGTTGGGATAATTGCTTCTCTCCTCACGCAAGTCCTACTGCACAGATGCCCTTTCCCGCCCTCTTCTTTTTGCAATTTCCATTTTGCCGCAGACCTTGACGATAAGCTTCCCTGTTTCTTTAGCAGCCAAAGAGACTAGGAGGAAGAGGTTGGTGAGATAAGATAGGTAATGATGGAGAGCCATTTGTACTGATGACGTTGTTTGACTAGTACGTGAGAATTTTGTTGAAAGTATTTGTTCGTTCTGATTTTTTTGTATGCCGCCCTGGATCCAAACGAAGAAGGATGGGATAAAAATCAAATAAACTAATGCGAGTAAATAACTTGAGGCTCAAGTCTTTATTGAGTCAATAAGCTCAGTGGCTGACCTTGAATCAGTCAGTGGCTTTCAGGCAGGCCTGCATAAAACTGTTGGGAAGGTAAAGGCATGAGGAGAGCTGCAAATTGCCACCATGAGCTCATTGGAAGACATATGTGATAACAAATAAATGTTGTATGTAACAGTAAATGTTTGGTCAACACAGATCATGAGAAATTGACTTACCCTGAAGAGGCAATTTACTTTATAGTTGTCTAAGGATCTGGACCCTGGTCTCCCCAGCAATGTGTCTTGTATTGTAGCATGCAGTAGGGCCCACCCAGTAACTAGAACTACAAGGGATTTGTGTGTGTGTGTGTGTGCATTCTTTATACAGTAATGTTTTTACATTAAGGTGTAGGATATGATGAAGGGACATGGTGGCGCTGCATATTAAACCGCAACAGCCTCCGGGCTGCAGTCAAAAGACTAATAGTTAAACCGCAACAGCCTCCGGGCTGCAGTCGAAAGACTAATAGTTCAAATCCACACGATGGAGTGAGCTCCCGTCGCTTGTCCCAGCTCCTGCCAACCTAGCAGTTCGAAAGCATGTACAGTGGTGCCTCACTAGACTATGATAATCCGTTCCACTGAAATCACTGTTTAGCGAAATCATTGTCTAGCGAAAAGCATTTCCCCATTGGAATGCATTGAAACCTGTTTAATGCGTTCTAATGGGGAAGAGTCATCGTTGTCTAGCGAAGATTGGCCATAGGAAAGCTGTTTAGCGAACTGCCAATCAGCTGTCTAAATCCCTGTCTTGCGAAGCTTAGGTCCCAAAAACACCTGTTTGCGAGTGCGGAGGGAGCTGTCAAAATCGTCATCTAGCAAAAATCGGTTTGCGAAGCAGGGACCAAACATTGTCCCGCAAAATTCCCCCATAGGAACCACTGTTTTGCGAATTGCTATAGCGATCGCAAAAAGTCAATGTATAGAGAAAAAACGCGAATCACTATAGCGATCGCAAAAACCCAATGTATAGAGAAAAAACTGTCGTGCGGGGTAACTGTCTAGCGAGGCACCACAGTGGGAAGGTAACAGTGTTCCGTGTCTAGTTGCGCTGGCGATATGACCACGGAAACTGTCTAAGGCTTGGAAACGGAATGAGCACCACCCCCTAGAGTCAGACACAACTGGACAATTGTCAAGGGGAACCTTTACATTTACTTAAAGGATATGATGCTTTCTATATTATTGGCCTTTCCTTCATAGTACATGAACTTGCCAACATGTTTTGTAGCCATATAGGATTTTAACCTGAATTTTCCATGGACATTCTCTACATTTCCTCATGTATTTCATATCTAGTAAATGATGTGGTTAGAAAAGTATATTTGTAACACTTTGTCTAACCTTTTTTGCCTGGAATTCAAGGTACAGTGGTGTCCTGCATGACAATCCGTTCCGTTAAAATCGTTGTACAGCGAAATCGTCATCATGTGAAAGCAGTTTCCCCATTGGAATACATTGAAAACTGGTTAATGCGTTCCAATGGGGAAGTTACCTCGTCGTCCAGCGAAGATCCTCTATAGGGCAGCCATTTTGCGAGCGCCGATCAGCTGTTTTTTATTGCTGTCTTCCGAAGCAGGGGTCCGGAAAACAGCAGGAAGCCATTTTGTGAAGCCGATGATCAGCTGTAAAGATCGTCATTTTGCGATTAAACGATCTTTGAAGCACGAACCAAGTCATTGGCAAGCGGAATTCCCTCATTGAAGCGCCTGTTTTGCGAATCGCTATAGTGATCGCAAAAAGGCATCGTCCTGCGGTTTTGTCGTTCTGCGGGGTCGTCATCATGCAGGGCACCACTGTAGTGTATATAAAGGCCATACACAGTCTCCCAGTTCCCCATCCAGGCACTAGCTAGGCACCTGCCATTTTTTTGTTCTACATTTCAGTATAATTATGCTTATTTTTTACCATCTTATCTGATTTTAGTGCTTCCATAGTGTTTGTCAAATATAAAGATATGTTAAAGGCTTTGCCTGTTTTTATTCTCTAAACTACAAACTGCAAGTGTTGGGATAAGTGTCTGATTAAATGCAATCTATGTAAGGGTTCCATGTGTATTTTTGTATATAATGACATCTTTTTTTGAGACTAAAAATAAATGTAAGTACTATTCAATATATGTTCGTATTTTTAAATTGTGGATTTTACTGTTGCATGTACAGGAAAACTGGGTCTGCAGTCAAGAAATAATCATAAATGCATGTTTTGCATATTTGCTTTGTAATTACTACATTGAGAAAAAGAAGGCACATGAATAAATAGCAAATACACTAGAGTGGAAAGGTTAATCTGAGAAGTAATATGTATAAACAGTGTTGGGCAGGTGGTAATACTGTTCATGATTTTCTGAGAAAAAATGTTTTGTAGCTGCATAGATTATAGTGCTCCAGAAGGCTGCTGACTGCTTTTGCCTACTACTGTTTACTTGGTAAACCCAAGAGGCCTAAGAAGAGGATGGCCCATTAGAAAATCTTGCCCCATAAACATGGGGCCAGTTTTTCATATACTACCTGCTCTTGACTCATTTTTTTCTTTTCAGATGAGATAAAAACATATTTTGCTCAGTTTGGCGCTGTGAAAAATTACTTTCTGCCATTTGTAAGTATTATTGTTAACTGTAACTAAAATAAAATATTGTTGAATCGGAACTTAGGCTAAGATAGTGTAGGTGCCTGATTTGTAGCCTGCTGAATTATTGCTTTCTGAAAAACAACGAAGTTGTTTACTAAAGGACCAGGTTACCCACCCCTTTCAGAGAAACACTGTTCTCTGATCTTGCAAATATTCAGTCCTTTAAGACAGTTGAACTGCCTTATGGTTTTTTGTTTGTTTGTTTGTTTTTTGCTGTTCAAAAATTTTTCATTATCTTCTAAGGGAGGAAAGGAGAAGTCCTTTAAGACAGTTGAACTGCCTTATGTTTAAATACTTTGGCATTTTTTGCTGTTCAAGAATTTTTCATTATCTTCTAAGGGAGAAAAGGAGAGATTTACTATTGTTGCTTTCTACGCAGGACTAACAAAAATTCCGTTGAATATCACTCCTGTTGCCTAGGAAAGTTTCTCTTCTAGTTTTCTCTTTCACTCCTGCAGCTGTTCTCTAGTTTCACAGAGTGTCTGTCCCCAAATTATAAATTCTCTTTTGCTGGTGTGATCACCACAGTAGGATATGAATTAAAGAAAGGAAAGACTTGCATAATACGTATTCAAGCAGTAGCTGGCCATGATCATAGAATTTAAAGTTTCCATAAAATTTAAAAATAGACATATGTTAAATGTTTGAATCCAATAATGTATTTGTGTCTTGACTGAATAGGATAAAAAAACAGGATTCCACAAAGGTGTTTGCTGGGTTGGATTTGTTACTGAAGAAGGTGTCGAAAATGCCTTGCAGAAAAAGTCTCATATCCTAGAAGGGGCTAAGGTAAGACATTCAATATCATACATTTTGAGCACCTTGTTCTCTTGCATTGAAATAGCAATCATTTAGAAATGCACATCAAATATTTTTCAAGATACAAAATACTTAGAATAGTCTGAGCTTGTTGGACATTTAAAACTCTTCGCCACAAGTTTTTAAAATTTTAATGGGCATTAAAATAAAAACTTTCCCCCATAATGCTTCTGTGTAGTTCAGCTCAGTTATTTATGGATTCATATCTGGGAATTTATATAGTACTAACTTGTATAAAGACGGCAGTTTAGAAGTGTTTAAAGAGGTGTTTCCCCAAGGGGGTCACAAGTTGCCTTACTTGTGTTGTAGCCCTTGTTTAATAATTTCTTACTTGACTTTTAGGAGTGGGGCATTATGTATAAGAAACAGGCCCTTTGGGGGAGAAAGAAGCCCCTACTTTCTAAGAAAAAATGAGTTTACCTCATTAAGAATGCTTTTTATGCAAATGTGGGGGGGAGGTTACTTGGATTTCATAAAAGAGGTTGGGAACCATTCTTCTGCATATATTCCTTTCACTTAAAACATTTTTAAGAATTCAAAATAAACTTTGATCCAAGAAATGTACAGAAAGCTTTAAAGGCAATTTTAACTTGTACAGAGCACTGCATTCAGTTAATTTTTACATTTATAGAAATTTAGATAGATATTAAGTTCGTTCTATTGCCTTACAAGTATTTGTCTATTAAATCTTTCAGATCATTGTTGACATCAGTAAAGGCAGAGCTTTCTCAGGTGAATACATGGACAGAAGAAAAAATGACACCAGTTAAAGGAAGGAGCTTTTATTTCACTACTGTATAAGGAAGCTAAAATAAACCTGTATATGTATGCATCTCTGTTAAATGGATTCATTATCTAAATTAATTATACAACCACAACAGAACAAGTGAATCACAATATCCTTCCACTTTTCAAGTACAATTCAGCAGAAGCAAGGCAAACTATATACAAGGTTATCAGCTGGAATAAGCAGCTTTAACTAAAGACAATACATTGAGCAGCATGTTCCAAATAAAACACAAAAGCTCCATTTGTGTAGAAACAAACAGGAAGGACACAGGTACAGCCCAACATGTAGAACTTAGATAATTCAGTGGCCCAATTGTAACTTCCCACTATTCTGTGGATAAAAATTGTCCTGCTTGATTTGTGGCACACACTATATCCATCACCAAAGAGCTGTCAGTTGGTCTTGACAACCCTGACAGGCTTGTTAAAAATGCTCCAAGTTATAAATTCAGTGTCACTCTCCAAGGACAAACCAGTTCCTTACTCTTTCCTTCTCTTTTTGCCTTCATGCTCATGCTCTTTAGGGCGACTACTATCAGGCCTTTTTGAGCCCCCATGCTGTTTGGCCTCTTCCAAGAACTTATCTAGACCAAAAGGATCCTCCTCAAATTGAACTGGTCCTTCACGACCTCTTTGTCTGCGATCTGAGCCAGAAAATTCTTTATCAGGAACAAACCTGTGTGAAATAAAGAAGCAGATGTAGCGTAGTGGTATTCAAACACGATTTAGGAAAAAAACTGAGCACTGCATGTTTCTATACCTGTTTGTAGTTTTTATTCGTGCCTCCAAATCATCTCCGTACATGTCTTTATCCATGTTCTTACTAGGCCTGTAGATATTTTGTGCCATGTCTTTCCCGCTTCTCCAAGGCTGATCATAGACATTGTAAATCTCATCTTCTCCACCAGCAAAGCCACTGTCCATACCCTACCAGAGCAAGTTATTCAAGAATAAATGCAAATTTCAAAAACATACTTTCCTACATTAAAAAGTCAGATTATTTTCTGGTAGAAAGAAATTTCCAATAAAACAGCTAATTACAGCAACATATTTTCTCTAAAAGCCAGTCTTGAGGAACCAGCAAGCAGTGGTTGCTTGCTGGTATGTCATTACAATGGTATCCAATGGAGTTTCCACCTCTTTGCATAATATCACTGAAAAATCATTGCACAACTCTCAAATCCAACCACTGAAAAACTAATTCCCAACTTTTATAGGTTGGGACCTAGCTTGAATAAATCACAAAAAGTTATGCTTAGAGCTGCATAAGCATATTCGACAGCCCTAAGTATTGCTTGCGCTGGTTGTCTTCTAGTAGAACACTGTTGCCTCTTGCACTTTTTCCATCATCATCAGAAAATATCTTTGGCTTCAAAACCTGGAAGCAACTAGTTCTAAATCAGCAGTTACCTGTAATGAATTTCTTTTCCCAGAATGAAATACATAGCTCCTAAGTCATTCATTCAACTTATACACCTCACATACAAGAAAAAATATATACAAATCAATCAGTAAAACCACTGACTAACAGTGGCTCACTGGGAGGACAGATCCTGAATCTGAGGCTCCAATACTTTGGCCATCTCATGAAACAGAAGACTCCCTGGAAAAGACCCTGATGTTGGGAAAGTGTGAAGGCAAGAGGAGGAGGGGACGATAGAGGACGAGATGGTTGGACAGTATTATTGAAACCACCAACATGAATTTGACCAAACTCTGGGAGGCAGTGGAAGACAGGAGGGTCTGGCGTGCTCTGGTCCATGGGGTCATGAAGAGTCCGACACGACTTAACGACTAAACAACAACAAAGCTAACTATTCTTAAAAGAACAATTTTAAGATGGCATTGGACATCATAGGTATGATAACTAATAAAAGTAGTTTTAAATAGTTATATTTTTACTGCCTTCTTGGAGCCTGTGAGGGAAGGAGCCTGGTGAATCTTTGCTGGAAGTTTATTCCAGAGGTGTGGGGCCGCAACCAAGAAAGCCTATTTGCACTTTTGGCCCCCCTTAGTGTTACTATTTCTAACATCGCAGACTCTGAAGAGCAGATGGTACAGGTAGATCTTTTATATCAGAAATGTCCCAACAGGTATGTAGGTCCTAAACTAGGGCTTTATAAGCAATGACCAGCATGGAAGCTGACGGGGAGCCAATGGAGACATGCCAAGACTAGATATGAGGTCATATCTAGAGACTGGCATGACACACCGATTTGTGCTGGTTTATTGGCCAAATAGGTGTTCAGAGCTTCAATGCCCTGCTTCAAAGCAGCACCTGGAGGTGGTGAGGCAGTGCCCAGAGGAAGTGGGGCAGGGAAACTAGGCCACTGCCTCTGACTGAGTGTCTTCAAGGGAAGCCCTACATAGAGAGCATTACAATTTTGGAAATTGCCAAAAGCACGAACCATTTACATCATGAGTCCCCAGCCTGCAGAGCAGTACAGGTCTGTGGCCTTGGAAGGATTGGACCGCTGGGACAGATGAGCGGCAAGTGAGGCTCCACCTCCTGTCAACACGCTCGTATTAGGTTCTAATGCTGCTGCTGATCTGACAGGAGGTGGAGCTTCGCTCCCTGCTTCTATCCTGCTGCTGCTAGATCAGCTGTGCCTGTGGCATTAGAATATATTAGAAGCCTGCGCTCCCATTAGGTTCTAAGCTGCTGGTGATCTAACAGGATGTGGAGCTTCAATTGCATCCCACCTCCTGCTCACCGCTCATCCATCCTGGCACAATACATTTAATAAGGTTGTTTCAAAGCTATCCTCCAACAAGCTACTGCATAACAAGTACCCCCCCCCTCCAACAGTCCTTGGGAGAATGGTTTTCAACTAAACCTGTCCCTGGTGTCAAAAAGGTTGGGGACTACTGATTTATGCGTTTCTTCTCCAGGTAGGGGGCGCAGCTGAGCAATCAATTGTAAATTACAATTGTAACCTCAGTTAAAGCCTAATTTTACTATCTCAATACAGCTGATTTTCATTGTTTTTGTAATTACAGGGGATGCCTTATTAAATAGTGGAAAATATATGATTTTAGTGCTAGCTTATGTTGTGCCTCATGCTCTTCTGGATACAAATGAATGGAAGAAGTCTTTTCCTGGTATAGGCCAACCACCTGCAGCACCTGAGAGTTTTAAAGTAATTAAAAGTAATTATTTTAATTGCTTTTGAAAAATAAAAGAAAAAGCTAGTTTTAAAAAATCTGTGACTCGACAACTAATTATGTCTTTGGTTCTTAGACTTCTAATCAATTTATTTTCAAATGTAACTCTTCTAAATTCTAACCACAACAAAAACATCTTGTTATTTTCCTACTGTAAGTGAAAATGCTGCACTTTGCCATTATGATAAATGCAAAATTTGCCTTCAGAATTCTGCAATATGTTTTCTTTCTTTCCTCCTCATCCATCCTCCCTCCCTAAATATAATCTCTCATTTTGAGATCTGTTATTTGATATTTAAACTTTTTACAGTGTGTATCCTGAACTGTGTAAGTCACTGGTAGGTGGAACCTTCACTTCATCCATATCCTAGGAGGGGCCATACTGAAAAGTGCATGATGATTATCCCTTTATTACTAGTAACCTGACAAAAAGATGTGCATCTTCAGCACCCAATTTCTATCTTCATATTACTTGCGTGGCAAAAATACAATTCCCTAAATGTTCACTATTCTATACTTTTATCATGTGACCTGCAAGTAGTTGCTCATTAGGAAATACTTATTGGAAATTACAAGCATTGGTTTAAACTACCAATGTTAGAACTAGATCTTTAAAAAGTTACTTTCCTGGACTACAAATGCCAGAATCTCTGTGCCAGCATGGCCACTGAACTTGTTGGCAAGGATATCTTAGCAGCTTTAGTTCAAAAAAGTAACTTCCAAGCTGTGACTAAAATGGTCACATAGCTATTTCTATTTAAAGTGTGAACTACCTCTATAATTATGAAGATATAAATGGCTCAGCATATTTGGTGGACATGTATAATTAAAAAAAATCCTCTACCAGTGGTCCCCAACCTTTTTGGGACCGCGGACCAGCTGAGCCTCTGAGGAAGGTAGGGAACCCCTGCACGCTTGGGTGCATGCATGAAGCGGTGGGGAGCACACCCGCACTGGCGCTCCGCATGCACACACGCCCCTTTGTGCAGGCGTATGTGTGAAGGGGTGGGGAAGCGCTCATGCCGACACTGGCACATGTGCGCAAAGCAGCTGGGGTGGGGGGAGGTCGGGACGTCTGTCTCCAGAGCCTGGTCCAGCTCAGGCCATGGACCAGCACCAGGCTACAGACTGGGAGTTGACGACCTCTGCTCTGCACCTAACAGCAGAGACTTAAAAAGTGTTCAGTGTTGCCCCTTGAAGAGTATTGGAAGAAGTTAATTACCTTGCTCTGGTTGAAGAGCCTCTGGTCATACTGGACTTCGTTGGATGTCCGAGGGTTAGGAACTCCCAAAGCAATGACTTCACTAATATCTCTGTTCTCATTCCTCTGTAACTTTGACCTGTATTATCAGCATTGCAAATTGGTTAGGCTGTAGTAATATCCACAATAAATACTTGTATATGAGAGAAACTGTTAGTTTAACTTATCTTTATTCTGAATGGGCAGCATATTGTGTTTGATCTCTGACCAGATATATTCAGGGGAAAACAGTGAGGATCTGCTATATCCAGAGACTTATTTAAGCCATGTAAAGCGTAATTTGGCTTTTCCTTTCAAAAATATGACCTCTCCTTCTAAAACTCTCCAATGTCAAAAGTTGTTATACAAATGAAGTGAGCAACAGTTTCAGAAAAGAGACAGTCTTGAAGTTCTATTAAGCTTGAGGAACAAACAAGTTTCATGATTCTGGCTTTCATCTGCAAGTAAGTGTTCTTTCTAGAAGGAGCCTTGTAGCACAGTAATTGAACTGCAGTCAAGGCTGCTCATGACTTGAGTTTGATCCCAATGAGCTCAGGTAACTGTCACAAGGTTCACTCAGCCTTCCATCCTTCTGAAGTCAGTAAATTGAGTAGTGGGCAATGTTTAACACGCATAATTAAATTGTAAACTGCCCAGAGAGAGCTTTAAGCACTATGGGGTAGTATATAAGTGCACACTTTGCTTTCTTACTCTTCTTGCAGGTACACAGAGAGCCGCACTGAAACATGATTGTAAAACAGAGACCAGTTATAGTCTTGTGGAAAAGAACTGTGGGTTGCATGACTGGAAGCTATGGGGCATGTTGCAAACCACTGAGTTAATTATCCTATGACCAATTAAACACAACTGTTCAAGAAATATATATACTAGAAAATTTATTTGAATCAATTTAAATTGAACTGTACCGGATTGATTTAAACATTAGTCCACACAACATGGATATATATATATATTTAAAACACCTGATCACTTCCAGAATTTGCATATGGACAGCCAGCTATTTTTATCGATATAAACACTGGGGAAGGAATACCCATAACGTTCAAGTGACAGCCCTCTACAGCCAGCCCCATTCCTGAAGGACAGATTTAAAATTCCATTTGTGTACTGCCCAGCCCACTGCTAAAGCATTTCCCTTCCTGAGCTACTTAAGTTGTGGTGATGCTGGAGTCCCCATATCATCCCTGAAATGGGGTTTTAAGTGTATCTTAAGCTACTTTGGGTCCTATTTATGGGAGATAGTAAGTATATTAAACACATAAACAGTATGTGTATATGATACCATTCACATAGCCTTTTCATTCTTTCCTCTCTTTTGTAAACAGGGCAATATTATGTTCTCCAAAGCCACAGTTCTACTACTGTCATGCCACACAGCTCAGTCTTGAAAGAAGCACTGTACAGTAGGAATGTACATTTTGGCAAGTTGGTGAAGAATAAAGGCACAAATGAGATATTTTGTTGGGCTACAAGCTATTAGTCTGTTATTGGGCTATTAGTCTGTAAAACTATTTCCCTTGTTTAGAATGTTTGTTGCATATTCGTTGAACAATGTTACCTTTTATCAGGAGCTGCTCTGGAAAGATTCCGGTCATGCTGTCTCTCTTTTCGCCTGTCATGTCTGATTTCATCACGTTCTCTGGCTTCTCCATCCTCTACACATACATTTGAAATTCAAAATGATACACAACTATCACTAATGGAGTTGATTTCCAAGTAAAAGTAGAGCAAGTATTCAGAAAACCAATGACATCTGCACATGTACAAGTTTTCCCCCTAGTTGAATATTCCTAGATGAAATTAAGATATTCATTAAAGATTTAATGCATTTCCCTGTGGACTTTTAGGAAGCAATTAAAGACACTGCTTTGCAGGGAGGCTTTCCACACTGACCCCAGCTGACCACCCTCCTTCCCTTTTTTTTTTCTACCCTCCCCTCTTTTCCTCCAACCGCTTCCTCCAACCAATCTGAGATTAGTCAGTACCATGTGGGATTTTTTTAGGGTTATTGTTTTGTTTTTAGTATTTCTATTTTTGCTTGTGTTTTCTATTTTAGGAGTTGTAACCCACCCAGAATAGTGCTGTGACAGTAATGGGAGCAGGATACAAATTGAATGAATGAATAACGTATTATATATAATGGAAAGAAACAGATTATAGGCCACAATCCTATGTATGCCTGTTTGTGGAAAAGTAATTTGAACTACACAGGTTTACTTTTGCTGGAACATGAATGATACTGGAGCACAGACAGGTGAGCACCACATATGAAGAGATGGATCCACTACTGTGCTCCCATGGCAGATTTATATATTTATTTAGCTTAGAGACCACCTAAGATAAAACCATAACTTGAGGCAGTTTATAAAATAAACATAAAACAAATCATAATGCTAAAATCAACAACAATTAGAGAAATACCCTCAGTAATCTAAACCATCAATATTAACAATTATCTTCTTGGTATGTGTCTTCTCGACAAAGATAATCAAATATCTAGTACAGTGCAAAAAAAACGTTTTGTAATGTTTTATGAGCACAAAGCAAGAGGATAAAAGGAACAGTACCTTTTTCCACATGGGTTTTTATTCCAGCTCTTCGCTCCCTAGCCTTCTGGGCCATTTCTCGCAGTTTCTCCTCATGTTTTTCTTTCTCCTTCTGGGCCATCTTCCGTTCCACCTGGGCTCGCATTTCTACAGCCTCACGAGCCTGCACAAGATTCAAAGCATAGAAGCTGTGAGGAACCTTTGGGTTTCTGCTTTGGGTTAAGATAACACTAAGTTTAGTCTATGGTCTGTAGCTGTATGACGTTTCTGATCAGTAATGGAACTAAACCACTAGAAAAACTGGGGTGTAAAATCCATTCCACAGTGCTGGCAGAATGTTGTTTCAGAACAACTGTACAAAAGTTACAGTGCTTCTCAGATTTGCTGCATGGAAACTCAAAAGATTCACACAGGAGAATGAACAACAGTCTGACCTTTCTATCAGCAATATAGAGAGCCTCAGCCAACTTGGCAAAGTTTTCATTTATGTGTACAGTCTGCAATCCTCTGCCATCCGCAGCCAGACGCTTGTCTAATGGAATAGTGTAACCCTGGAGTGAAAAAAAAGAAAAGACACTTAAATCAGAAGAGACACAGTGTGCTAAGAAATTTTTCCCAAATTCTTACTTGCCATTACAGTACAGTGCTTCAAGTAAACTTGCTTTTTGCCCAGCAGAACAAGTAAATGCAATGACTGAAGAAACTTGGATGAGTGGTGAAACATTTCAACTTAGTAAGAAATAAGTCCAGTTGCCATGACTTAACTTCCAGATAACTTCACCTGGATGGCTAAGAATCTTCACAGAAGTAAATGCAATGTTTTAAGTTCCAACATTTGATTGAGATGATATTTTAAAATCCACACTGCTATGCTGAAAATCATTTACAAATACTGTACAGTCCTCTGAACTGCCAGACTATCAGACTATACTAACTTGGACACCTTTGCTTATTACTTAATGTAAAACCTTATTTCACAGACAGCTTTACAGAAAGCTAGAATTGTGGCACTTTAACAGCTGTTTGTTAGTCTACCAGTCTCACCTTTACACATTGTAACTTTCTCTGGTGCAAGTCTCGACAGATCACAGTTCACTTAACACTGCATAATTTTTATTTTAAAACACTAACAGATTCAATTTTTACACCATCAGCCACATACAGAGGTTTTTCCTACACCCTGTAAGGTTTATGGCTGAGTTGGTATTTAAGTTACCTTGGTTCAAGCTGAAACAAATTGAAGCTGTATATTGGCTATGCTTGTTTTGCATAAGGCTCAATAGCTGGGATAAACTGGCTTCACATCTTACTCATATTGTGTTTTGGGAATTTTAAATACTTTCTTCTAACCACATTTAAAACAGCGCAAAGCATCAAAGTATTTTCCATCATACTGTTTGCTCTTGTCATTGTGGCAGTCTAAGAATATGGGGGAAGTTGATTGAGGTTAAAACAGAGCAATCCCCTTTCTGAATGCAAGCAATTTACACAGTAATCAATGGTAAAGGAATATTCAAATTGCTAAATTTTTAAAAAATGTGTTCCTACTGGATGCAAGGTTAGAAACTAAGATTATGACAAGCTAACAACCTTTGCATTTTTCCAGTTTGAAATGCAAGGAGGAATTTTCCATTCCTGCTGCTCCTTCACAGTCATCTGAAGAAAGAGAAGAGATGAGATATGTTAGATTGTTATTAACCCAATGGATATTCTTTGCCATTTTGAAATAATGTGAATGAAAAATCTTAACTTTCCAAATAACAAGTGTCAACAAAATAGCACAGCAGTACTTTTCTTTGGTGGTAACTGTTATGTTCATTCAAGCTGCTTAAAAATAAAATGAAAGGAGTTCTCAGCACTGCATATGTTGCAATTTTATAGTCTTATATATCAATACTCAATACTTCCCAGGGACTCTTAAATTGGGAGGTGGGGGAACCAGCATATTCAGGCCAGTTTCAAGCTGTGAAACTGGGCACTTTCAAACATATCCTCCTCCCCAATTACTTTAACCCCCACAAACTGTACTGGTGGCTTTGAAAGCTCATTTAGCAGATAGCAGCTCAAAGAACAATCCCTACTTCCACAAACCATTTGCTAAAGCAGATAAAAGGCAAAGTTTAACATGTAGATACCTACAGAATAGTTGCCCTCCTACTCTAGCTTTCTGAACTCTACAATAACCTTTATCAAATGTGACAACAGAACTACATACCATTTCAAGTGAGACTGAACTACAGATTTGTATAAAGGCAGTACAATATTAATAACTTTCCATTTGATCCCCTTTCTAATAATTCATTGAGCTCTGATATAACCCGAAGGTAAAATTCTTTGTTAATCACCAGTAGCCATTCACGTATACATGAAACATTATCTTATGCTCCATTGGACATCACTTTAAATTTACTTATACTCTGCATTTGTTGATTCCCCCACACACTCATTTACCACCTTGAAGAATATTTTGAGCAATTCTGCCATATCAGTGATCACTCATAACTCCAGATTATTTATGAATAAGTTAAACAAATACTATTCCCATATGGATTCTCAAATGACTCCACTTATTACATTGTGATAGTTATCTTAACTGTGAGAAATATACCTTGTTAGATTCTAAGCATGAAACAAAAGTCACCTAAAATAGGTCAACATTACATTTTACTCAGTCCATGCTCCTCTACTTTACCTCCAACTTCTTTGAGTTTCTAGAAGTGGGGGGAAACAGTTTGCATCAAAGGTTCTCAAACATAATATCTTATTGTAATATACACTTTCAAACTCTATGGTCTATGGGCCAGACCTCAAAAAGCTAATAGAGGAAATAGCAAAACATTACCTTTCTGCTGGGAGAATGCATCACAGGAGCTGGAGGCGACGGTGGCCCACGAGGAATTTTCTTGTTAATCCTATCATGTAAAAAACACAACATAATTAGATTTAAATCTCCATCCCTTAAACCTCTATGATATAAAAACTCTTGAAGTGAGAAGCTTACTTGAATCTTGGGGGTTCCATGGGGTCCTTCTGCATCTCTACCATTCTAATAACTCTCTGTTTTGCACCAGAGTTAAAGGCCACACCCTGCTGTGATGGTGTGTATCTGAAAAATGAAACAACTATTTCATTTATATTTTCCCATCACTTATTTTTCAAGTATCTCAGTTTAGTTCACACTACATTACCAAGCATAAGCACTTTAAACAGTGTGGAAGAGACACTGTGCTTTTAAATTATACATACTGACCAGACAACTCATTTCACTCACAGAACACAACCTGATGTTCCCTGTTCCTTTCCAATGTTAATGGGAGGGCAGTAAAAATACTTCAAGTTGCATACCCTGCAGTTTAGGTCCATTTCTTGATAACTGTGATAGTCACTATTTATGGACTAGAAAGACCATCATATATTTGTTGAAGGTTTATTACCAGGAACAAGCCAAGAAAGAAATAAAAAAACCACAGAGTTCCCTCTGTACACTTTGTTCTTTGTAACAGGGTTAATATCACATTTCATTAAACAGCACTGGCATATTACCTTTCATGTAATTGTTTATTCCTTTGGACAATCATTATGTTTTACACTCTGAGAAAGTCTTTAAATTAAACTTCTTATAAAAATTATTAAACAATCTAAAAAGTCTCCAATACCGGATGTACTGAGCTGGAGCTAGTTTATCAGCTGCTCGGACTGGCATGGCTGCTGCAATTTTCTGGGAGACAGACTTTTCTAATGCTGTTCGGGTCTTTTCTGTAAGCTGAAATCACAAATGATATGTTAAACACTTGGAAACAATGCAAGTAATTCCAATAGTTATGTGCATCATTGACCACAATACCTCTCTGACAGCTTCCTCATCAGGTCTTTGCAGCTCAGGGTCATCCACATTCATAACCTCCTTTGGAATCAAGTCTGTGTATCTGCTGTAAATGACCTGAAACAGTGAAAGCAGCACTAAGAAGGGGAAGCACAGTAGATGGAAAAGCAAGAGATCTCTGCATTAGCTTTTCGGAATAGAACAGGCTAAAATACAAGGAGCATGCATGGATCAGAAATATATTTCAAATTCTTAATTACAAGACTGAATAAGACTTTAAAAAAGTTTCAGTGGCTCTATAATTTGCTAAAAGAGTTTCTGTGGCTCTACAATCTGCTAAAAGATAATCAAATTTTTCATACCCTCTTTGAAGTTATAGGGATGTTATGTTTATCTGTTGGTAGAAACAGTGCTGGAAAGTATTTAAGTGGTTTGCTAAAATTAAACAAACTATTCCAAACTGTCATTCAGGTTTCAAAGTCTGTGATGATTTCTGGATTCTCCAGAGAGCTTCAAACACCTACACTTGTTATTTTGAGTTCAAACTATGTTCCTTGACATCCATGTAATTCTCTGCAGTTAAAAACACATTACCACAAATAAAATAAAAATCAAGGTGGTTATGAAGAACCGTTTCCAGTTTGTGGCCCCCTTCAACTGAGTCAGGCTGCCCCCCAGGAGCGCATATGGCCTCCATTGAGGATCGCTAATCCATAAGACTCTTTACAACACAAAGGACATAACCTGGAGAAGAGGAATTGGCTGCCATGACTTAAGGTTCTACCCTTAAAAGGCAGAGTAAAAATTATTTTAAATAAAACTAAAAAGAGAGAGAGAGAGGCTGGCTGGCTGGCTTGTTCAGAGGGCTAGTTATGTGGCTGTGGTACCAGAGGTTGAGTGTTCAGTTTCCCACTGTGCATCCCCAAAGAGCCTGCCCGTGTGGCCTATTTGGCACAGTTCCAGAATGGCCGCACTTCTGAGTACTCTCTACCTAGAAAACTCTGAAAAGGGTTGCTCAAAGTCAAAACTGATTTGACTGCACACAATTAAAACAGAGAGAGCAAAAATCTGAGATGTTGTTAGCAGAGAGGGAATTAAGAGGCTTATATAAAAGTCAATTCATAATTTTCAAAACTTAACAGCTGTATCTACTAACAACTGTTTATGTCATCCTTCAGCACTACACAGGAACTTTGACTCCTGTTTTACCTTGTCAGACAAACATGACAAAAATGTAGTTATTCTGAACAACCATCAGTGGAAAAAAGTCAGTTTCAAACAGTGATTTACAAAGCTAGTTTATGTTCTCTATGGAGAGTTAAAATTAACTACCATGTTCTTTATTTATTTATTTATTTATTTATTTATATTTTATTTATTTATTTGATTTATACCCCGCCTATCTGGTCTACTT